AAGTGCAAAGAGCTTGGTCTCTCGAAGAATGAGATGAAAAAGCTTCTTCCAATTGTGGATGCCAGCTCATCTGATTTAGGTAAACTAAACACCAGATCTTGGTCGAGTGGAATGGCTGTGGGGTTGCTTTTCAAAAGGACTAGCTATTTTGAAGAAGAAGAGTCAAACAGTCGGTTAAATATGTTCAATTGGTTTAACCACATTATCATTCTGTTAGTGCAGTAACAATTGTTAACCTCTGACAATAATAAGTGACAATTTTGTAACAAATGATAATATTAATGATCAATTTGTGACTTTTTAAACATCAGTGGTAAAAATGAATATTTACTCAAGCATTAGTGACCATTAACATAATTTACCCTAATTTTAATTACAACAAAATATATTATAAAAAATATAATATTTTCATTCAAATCTAAAATATTATTTTTTCCATCCTAAAAAAAATACGCTTTGGATAATATTTTTTATTATAACTGATTTTTGTCATCTTTAATATTACGTTAACAAATTATATTTTAGACCCTCTTTTTTGTTAGCTTGATGCAAAAACCAAACGCGACATTTGTGTAATATGATTATATGAACATGTGGGTTTTTTTTTGGTCGAATAGGTCACCTGCCATAATTAGTTGGTCAATAGGATACTTCAAAAATTAATTCGGGATTTATGATACTTTCTACAATCTATAACGAATTCGTCACGTCGAGATGAAGAATTCCATGAAATATAATTTTTATATTTTAAACCCAATATTTTAATATTTTCTGTAAAACTCGACACCTCAAGGTGACAAGTTCTATTAAAAAATTAATATTTTTTCATATTATTATACGAATTTAATGTTGGAAAGAAAAAAATACACATTAAAGTGATGAGTTCTATTATATATATTTTTTTTAAAAAGTAGTAATAACTTAATACATTGTATTAGACTTTCAAAAATACACATTAGAAAGAAAATAATTACAAACTTAATACATTAACATAAGGATGTAAATATGACTAACCTTACGAATACCATAAACATTAAATAAAATTATTGACATAGTAGTATTGATTAAGAAGTTTTAATCTTCGTAATCAGTAGACTCGTGAAAAGAAAGATTAAGTTATTCAATCCCCCAATTTTGTTATTGTTGTTGTATGCACGAATTGGAATCATACTTATGGTCTCCATCATCTATGTTTATTTATTAACCATTTGATTGAGTTGGTGGAATATTCGAGTTGGAAGCAAAATCCTCAATGGGACGAGCAAGGTCGAGATCATCGAACTCTACGTAATCTATTTACGTCTTTATGTTATTGTATTAAGTTTGTAGTTTTTTCTCCCTAATGTACATTTTTAAAAATGTAGTATAATCTTCATAGTTTATTGTTATTTTCAACATAATCTACCACATTTTGAAGAGGAAAAAAATCTAACAGAATTAGTCACCTCGACGTGATGAATTTATGTGTATTTTTTCCCTTCCAACATTAAATTCGTATAATAATCTGAAAAATATTTTTTTAATAAAACTTATCACATCGAGAGACGAGTTTTATAGAAAATATTAAAATATTATACCTGAAATATAAAAAATTATATCTTATAAAACACATCACCTTGACATGATGAATTCGTTATGGACCGTAAAATCCGAACATGTGGTGTGGTAGCCCACTGGATTTCAGCCAACGGAAAACTAGCCCATAAACCAATGCTTGAAAAGCCGCTATTTCTTTTTTATCTTTTTAGGATGAAAAGCCACTATTTCATCAACTGATTTATGGCAAAATTTTATTTCAAAAAAAATTATATTAAGTAGTAAAATTAGTAGAAAAAATTCTTCGCACATCACTCATCAATTTCAAGTGCATCAACTCCGCAACACGCACAACAACTGCTTCGTGCTGTCTACGTTGTCACCCTCGCGCGTCGTGTACCAAAATGCGGACGTTTATATGGTAAATTAAATAAGCTTAAACTACCTTATTTGGTCACCACCTATTACTTAGTTTATATTTTAGTCATTCAATTATATTCTTTTTAAAAGCACACTTAACGTTACATTTTAATCACCATATGTTAAAAAACTAATGAAATCAACATGTCACCATAAGGTAATATTATGTCAAAAAAAATATCATATCAGTATTTCTATTTATTTTTTAATGATGAATAATCAAAATGAAGCAAAAATATAATGTTAAATATGATTTAAAAATAGTTTAGTAACCAAATATAAATGTGATAATATATAAATAGTTAAATACATATTTTACATTATTAAATAAAGAGTAGTCATACATTTAATTCTCTAATTATCACTTTTATTTTGTTTTAGTCACTCAATTATTTTTATTTCAAAAGTATATCTAATATTATACATTGATTTCATTTTAGTCACCCATTGTTAAAAATAAGGTAATCATTATTGAAAAATATCACATCAATAATTTGTTAATTTTTAACAATGAGTGTAAAAATGAAACCAAAACATAATATTAAGTATGATTTTATAAAATATAATAATTTAGTAATCAAAATAAAATAAAATAATAATTAAAATACTAAACTTGTAGTTTACTCTTAAATAAAGGATTGCCTGCCGTGTAAAAAAAGTCGTAAACAGGCAAAATTTAGCCGTCAATAATAAAAATAAGGATAAAGTATAGTAATGGTCACTGAACATTTCTGAAGCTTGTATTTAGGTCCTTCAACTTTTAAAACTTACAATACAGTCCCCCAACATTTATTCTGTTTGTAATATGGTCCCCAACTTAAATCACTTAGAAAATTAGGGTAAATTATATAAACGGTCATTGAACTTTTCAGGCACTTGAATTTAGGTCTCCAACTTTTAAAACTTGCAAAACAGTCCCCCAATAATTTTATTTTCTTATTAAATATAGATGTATAGAAAATATAAATGATTCAATTTATATTTAAATGTATGAATCATTTATATTTTTGATATATTTTATTTTTCTTGTATAAACTAGTATTTAAAATATGTTTATATTTTAATCAAAATATTTCAATATACGAATAAAAATATATTTATATAAATGTATATTTATATTTAGATGTATAAATAAAAAAATATATTCATATATTAATGTATGAATCATTTATATTTTTTGAATATTTTATTTTTAATAAGAAATTAAAATTATTAATTATATTAGAAATACTCAACTTAAGATTATATATATAATCATGAATTATAAATATGAAAAATATAATTGTTAAATTTAGTTTAAAAATATATAAATCTTAAATTTATTCTTTTAAAATATTGTATCAACTAATATTTAAAAAATATATTAAATCTATCAAACAATTTATCAAATATAATATTTTTTATTGTAAACAAATATAATATTTTCCCATCATTTATTGCTTTAAAAATATATGAAATTGAATTACTTTGGAAATTGGGTTTAGAATGAAATTGAGGACTATTTTGTAAGTTTTAAAAGTTGGGGGACCTAAATTCAAGTGTCTGAAAAGTTCAATAACCTTTTATATAATTTACCCTAATTTCTAACGGTGGTTTAAGTTAGGGACCATATTGCAAACGGAATAAATGTTGGAGGACTGTATTACAAGTTTTAAAAGTTATAGGATCTAAATGCAAGCTTTAGAAATGTTCAGTGACCATTACTATACTTTACCATAAAAATAAAAGAAACATTTTGGAAATTAAAAGAGGAAGCAAAGCAAATGATAGAGGGAGACAGGCGGCCCTCTAATCTCACTATTTTCGACGGAGAAAATTAAGAGAATTTTGGAGAGATAAAGTCAATAATCTTCTTCTCCTTCCTCTTCTTCAGGTACGTATATATACTACATATTTTTAGATAACAGAAAATGAATTAGTCTGAGGTTCTAGTGATGATTTTTACGCTCAATCTGTTTATGGGTTTCGTTCCGATTCTATTTTGAACTTCGTTTTTGTGATGAATTTTGTGTTTTATTTTGTACCCATGTTTAACGTTTACCTAGTTTCTTTTTACAGGTTTTGATGCTTATCTCTTTACAGTGTTCTGATCAGTGGAGTGATTGGAGATTATATATTGAGCTCGATATTTTAAAAAAAGAAAAATAATTCAGTCTTTTTTGTGTTCGATTAGTTGTGCATCCTCAAAGCACTTCTCTTATTACTGTTTAAGTTCGAAGTTACCGTTTCAACCTCGTAAATAAGTAGTTAAGTTGTTTTATCACTGATTTAAGTAACTCAGTTTTCAAACTGGATCTGCCTTGTTTGGGATCACGCTTTGTGGATTGATGTAAGCTCTTTTTTTGGGACACGCATCGTTTCCTTTGCATGCTTATATTGGGTTTGGAGCGCTAGTGCTATTTAGAATTCATGTTAGGTTCTAGATTTGCGTAAGATGCATTATAAATACTGCTTTGTAGCTTCACTTTCTTTTGTGTAACCTTTTCCCCGAAGCCCCATGTATGATTCGGTTGAAATGTGTATTACGGCTTCCATTCTGTTTTCTAATTGCAGTAATTGCTCTATTTAAAGCTGTTAAAACTGAGAATCCAAAGGAAAAAAACTTCAAAAATACTCTTGGTTGCCAATTAAATATAGGGTATTGATGCTAAGTTTATTGTATGATTTAAGTACTAGAATTACTCTCTCCCCCAAAAAATTAGCCTAGGTTCATTTATCTTCAAAACTATGGTGCATTTTATGTGTAGTGGTTTGGGTTTAATTTCGTTTATGCCCATCAATATAATAATGCAATGGCTGATTGATCTTTCTTGTGTGGCTACTATCTTTTAAACAACTTAGTTTCATTCTTTTAATGGACAGGTATTTGTCAGCGTAGACAGTTTCATCATAAAAAATTGCCTTTTGTAATTGTAATAGAGTAGAGTTCTATTTCTCAATATAAAATGGTGGAATTGATATAAGCTGTCAATTTTCTAAAGATTGAATTGAGTTGTGTTCTTTTCTCTCAATAACTAATGGTGAATGCCCATTCAATCTTCCAGGTTCAAGTAAAGGTCTTTGGAATGCTAACTTTGCTGTTGGCTATGGCAGAATGCATGTGCTGATATTGCATTACGTGTGATAATCATGGCATATGGCCTTGTTTTTTTTTCCTTGAAAGTTTTATCCAAATGGAGAGAAATCTAGGAAAAGGCATAATGGATCAACAGAAGAATCATGGACAAATTCGATACAATAATATTGAAGTTGGAAATGAAACTCTTGAGGCTGCAAACCAGAGATTTTTTCATGATCCATCTAGTAATATAAATACTAACATCCGACCTCCTGATTATAATATGTCGGCAGGAGCTAGACCAGTTTTGAATTACTCTATTCAAACAGGTGAGGAGTTTGCTCTGGAATTTATGCGGGAAAGGGTAAATCCCAGGCAACATTTTGTTCAGAATGCTTATGGTGATCCCAACAGTGGACCACTTTATATGGATCTAAAAAGCATTATGGGAATTTCTCATACAGGTTCGGAAAGTGGCTATGATGTCTCTATGCTTAACACAGTAGAAAAACCCCGTCCCCAGGAGCTTGAGAGAAAGGCCCCTTCTGTGCATGAAGACAAGAACTATTATGATTCCATGCGATCAATTTCTCAATCCTCTTCAAGAAATGACATTAGTCAGGGACATCAAGGTTATGCATCCAGAAATGCTTCACTCAGCTCATCAACTAAGGTGAAGTTCCTCTGCAGCTTTGGTGGTAAAATTTTACCACGTCCCCATGATAAGAAACTTAGATATGTTGGGGGGGAAACACGTATGATTCGATTAAGCAGGGATATTTCCTTTCAAGAGTTTGTTCAAAAAATGTTAGCAATTTATAACGAAGCCCATATGATAAAATATCAGTTGCCTGGGGAGGATCTTGATGCATTGGTCTCTGTATCTTGTGATGATGATCTGCAGAACATGATGGAGGAATGTAATGTGCTAGAAGATGGAGGACTGCAGAAACCCAGGATATTCCTTTTCTCTAGTAGTGATTTGGAGGATTCTCAATATGGCTTGGGGAGTGTAGAGGATGATTCTGAGGTGCAGTATGTTGTTGCTGTGAATGGCATGGATCTAGGATCTAGAAAAAACTCAATTGCAGCAAGTGCTTCTGAGAACAATTTGGATGAATTACTTGGTTTGAATGTTGTAAGGGAGGCTAGCCGGACTGTGGCTGAAGCAGCTGCTTCTAGTTCTGCTTCTAGTTCTGCTTCTTTGACAGCTATTGCACCTGCATCAACAGTCCAGTCTTCTAATGCACCTGCATCAACGGTCCAATCTTCTAATGTGCCTGCATCAAAAGTCCAATCTTCTAATGCAGTTTCATCAATGGTCCAATCTTCTCATGCACCTTCATCTGCTGTCCAAACTTCTCATGTACCTTCACCAACCCTCCAGTCTTCTCAACCAGTTTTGGTGAGTTCATCTAGTGCTTATGAATCTAGTTCATATCCATATCTAGAGCAAAAAATGCATTATGGAGAAGCTAGCCGGCAGTTGTCTTCCACTCCCCAGATAGATGGGAAGAGTAATGTTCCTTTGTCTCCTCCATTGCAGTATGGTTATGGTTCTCAACCCTCTAACCATGTGATGCCTGGAGAAAATTTAGTTTCAGTGCCGGTCCATGGGCATGTCAACCCCCAGGTAGCTTTAGCTGATATGGGCTTTCAAGTGCAAGATCTGGAAGCATCTATTAAAGAGGTGAAACTAAAAAGAGATAGTTCTGCCCCAAAAACAACTGAATCTGAAAAGGTGCGGTCTCTGGACAAAGTTCCACCAATGAAAGAGCCAAAAATGAAAAGAGATGCATCCCTTCCTAAGATCAGTGAAACTGAAAAAGTTCGGATGTCAGAGAAAGATTACAGTGTCCCTTCAAATGCATATGGAAGTTCTGTTGCAAACCGTATTTCTAGTGTGGAAGCATCTGTTACCATTTCAGTTCCTGACATTGGCTCATCTTTGTTGCCTGCAAAAAATTTGAAAAAGACCCAGGAAGCTGTGCAGAATTTAGTGGCCCCTGAAGTTTTAAGTGAAGGGAGAAAGAATGTTGAAGATGACCACTTTCACCCATCTAGTGGGCCTTTTACATCTGGTGCTAGTGGTTCTGAGGCTGATCCAAATGACTTTGTATGCCTTGAGGGATCTGTGATGCCTCAGCGAGTGTTTCATTCAGAGAGAATCCCCAGGGAGCAGGCTGAAATGAACCGTTTATCTAAGTCTGATGATTCTTTTGGGTCTCAGTTTCTCATGACTCAAGCACATTCTGATTCTTCCCAAATAATTAGAGAAGCAGTTGACATGATTCATGATGGGAATTTGTCTCCTCAAGCTGATCATCAATCTGTCACATCTGCAAATCCAGGATCTAAAAATCCTCGAACTGTTATGGATGGGCTTGCTGAATTTGAAAGGTACAAAGGTTTTGCTGATAAAATCATATCTAATTTTTCTGAGGAGGTACCTGAGTCAACTAAGGAGAAATCTGAATTAAAACAAGTCTCAGTTAAGACCACTGCTGATGAAGAAGCAGCTGGGTTAAATCATTCCACAGCAAGTCAAAGAACTTCTGTTAAGCACCTTGAAGATCCATCTTTCAGTCCGTCTGATTTTGAGCAAATGGAGAAGGGTGAAAACAAGAATACAGGAAATCATTCTCAGGGGCATAACCAACCTTTGGTGTTGGCAGAGAACCCAATTAGAGCAACTTCCAATGTACGGCCTACTCCTTCTGTAAGTGCCTCTGAGCATGGGGACATACTTATTGATATTAACGACCGGTTTCCCCGTGACCTTCTGTCTGATATATTCTCAAAAGTAAGAATGTCCCAGAACCTCTATGGTATCAGTCCATTCCCTGGTGATGGAACCGAACTGAGCTTAAACATGGAGAATCATGAACCTAAGCATTGGTCATACTTCCGTAATTTGGCTCAAGATGAGTTTATTAGAAAGGATGTTTCCCTCATGGATCAGGACCATCTGGGTTTCTTGTCTCCACTTGCAAATATTGAAGGTGGGGCTCTAGTTGATTATAGCTATCCACCTTTGAAATCTACTGGTGATGTTGCCTTGGCTCAAAGTAAGCCAGACATCAATTTTGGTGACATTAGCTCAGAATACAGTAAGTCTCCACTCAAGGGTGATGAAAGTGGACGAGTTGGGCAAAACCTTCAAGTACCTGAATCTGAGTTTGAGGTACTAGTGCCTATTTATTTGATTTATAGCATCTGAAGATAATTCTTGCTTTTGTCCCTGTTTTCTGATTTTTTTTTTCCAAGGATGGGAAATTGGATATTCGGAAGACTGGTGTACCTCCTGTGGATAATTGCTGTGGAGAGATTGATATAAGCACATTGCAGGTATATCTTGCATTCTATATTATCTTATGTCCTAGTACTGAAAGAGCTGGTTAATTTTAAATTTGCTTTTATGTTTTCTAAATTTTCCAACTTTAAGAAAGCTTAGCCAGATTATTTGCATGTATGTTTATGTTTAAGTCTTAAAACAGAAAGCTTCTGTTCAGCCAGTAGTTCTTGTATCCATCCACAACCAAGCCATTCCTACCATTTTGTAGAACCTCATTACCAATGGCACCAATGCAGCTGCTAATGATTATTTTCTAGATGTTAAACACTGATTGTAGGTGTTTCATTTTCTCAAAAAGGTTTTTGTTTCCTTACCTTAGCCAGCATGCTGCCAATTACGTCACCTCGGACGGCAGTTGTGGATTATATCTGTTTTTATATCCTCCTCATATCAATTTATGCTGGTTAATTCTTTTCCTCCTCCCGCTGATTAAGGAGCTTCTCTATAAGCTCCTTTAATCATGAAGGAGGTTTTTAACGAGGCCTTCAATTCCTATCAAAAAAAAATTTATGCTGGTTAATTGATTGCAAAAATGGGAGAAAAATGTTATTCATCATGCTTCTTGGTTGAATTGTTCTGCATTTTGGGCCTCTAGTCTTAATATTATTCAACTATTTTGGCCACTGTTTCTAACTCCATGGAGGCTAATTTCATTAAATTCCATGGCAGATCATTAAAAATGAAGATCTGGAAGAGCTAAGGGAGTTGGGTTCAGGTACATTTGGTACTGTATATCATGGAAAATGGAGAGGAACAGATGTTGCCATCAAGCGGATAAAAAAAATCTGTTTCACTGGTCGTTCTTCTGAGCAAGAGAGATTGGTTAGTTTTCTTGTTATTTCTTGGCATTTTCTGATTCATTATCGGAGATCGATACTTTTTTCACTTCGTCTCATACCATTAATAATAATCTGTCTTGAATATTTTTCAGACTGTCGAGTTCTGGCGTGAAGCTGACATCCTTTCTAAGCTTCACCACCCCAATGTGGTGGCTTTTTATGGGGTGGTGCAGGATGGACCTGGAGGAACACTAGCCACTGTCACAGAGTTTATGGTGAATGGCTCTCTTAGACATGTCTTGCTTAGCAAAGACAGGTAATGTTTTTAAATATAGTTACTAGAATGTGCTATTTTCCTCTGTTGCTCAGACTCACCTAATTGGGAGCTGTACCTGTGTCGACACGACAAGGATAAGGGTATGGGATATGGATCAGATTTGTCGGACTCTGGGTGACTGGGTGAGAAGAACAGAAAAAAGCAGCAGCAGCGGGAGAAGATAAAGGAAAGGGAGAGATTAGAATAGATTGAAATTTTGGTTTTTGAGGGGGAAAGCAATATAAAAAATATAAAGAAAAAAAAGTACAGTGGAAAAAGTAGAATGGTAAAACCTCTTAATTTGGGTTCCAAGCCCAAAATATTGTTAATTAAATCCAATTCAAATAATAAACAAAAAATAATAATTTATATATAAAATACTGATTTATTATATAAACATATTATATTTAAGTACATATAAAACGAATTTCCGTACCCGTGTCCTTTCGGATCCTTTTGTGCTGTATCCCTGTGTCTCGAGTTTAACTGAATTGGCAAGTTGGACATCTAGACACATACTCAAGTCCGAAACCAGTGCTTGAGTTCGTGCAACACTGTTACTTTCATCGCTCTAGAAATTTCCATTATATATTTTGTTTTCTTTGTAAGTTTTGTAATTGTGTAGGCTACTTGATCGTCGTAAGCGGGTCATTATTGCCATGGATGCAGCATTTGGGATGGAATATTTACATTCAAAGAATATTGTGCATTTTGATTTAAAATGTGACAACTTACTTGTCAACTTGAAAGACCCTGTGCGGCCAATTTGCAAGGTAATTTACATGATGTTTTCATGTATAAACTTGTAAACTTTACATTATGCATCTCTTATTTTTTTGATAGGCAGATACTGATGTCTAAGTGAAACCTAAGTTACAAAAGATGATGTGTGGCAGGTTGGGGACTTCGGGTTGTCAAAGATAAAAAGGAATACCTTGGTTACTGGCGGTGTGAGGGGAACTCTTCCATGGATGGCCCCAGAGCTGTTGAATGGCAGTAGTAGTAAGGTTTCTGAAAAGGTAAGATGATTTTGTTTCAGCACTTAGATAAAGTTTGTTTAGATCTTGGTTCATATCTGATTTTACTGCAATCCTGTACATGCTGGCATCAAAATTTATTATGCTTCATCAAAGTGCTTGCCTCGCAATGATTCTGTTTCTCATATTATTTTTAATGACTTTTTTTTTATAAGAGCGCCTTAGAACTTTATTAAAATAAAGTAGGATTACAACCTAGATAAAATCCCATAAACCCTTACAAATAGTCATAACTCCCTTCTGATCAAGAATACGAAACCCACTTGATCAGTACAAAACACATAAAATTCAGCCTATACCAGCCCTTGCTAAGGCATCAGCATCCGAATTAGCTGACCTAGCAACCCATCTAACAATCCCCCCACAAACCCTAAGATTATCAACAATATCCTTAACAATAACAGCATACACAACTGGATAAGAATCAACAATGTTAATCCAGTCCACTGCTACCTTACTGTCGCTTTCAACAATCAGTCGAACATTATCCCTCCCTTGAATAGAAGCGACGAAAATCAGTCATTTCTTTTTAATGACTTTTAAGAAGTGGGTTATACTCTTCATCATCTAGAATACAGCGATACTTGCTGGATTAAATTGTAGTTTTCTGCTTGTCAGTTATAAAGAAATGAGATGCTGGGATCTGTTGGTTGTGCACATTTTTCAGACCTAATACCTCCCCTCCTTATTTTGTCAATTTCAATCTTTTAAGATTTTTTTGTGCAATTTATTTGTATAAAATGTACACAATAGGTCCATGGTTCAAATCTAGGTTTCTTCCTAAAAAGTCCACCTCCCTGACTCGTTAAGCAAGGATCAAATGGTGTTTATGCAAATTTACCTGGATTTTGTCATTTGCAGGTCGATGTGTTCTCATTTGGCATTGTTCTATGGGAGATTCTTACTGGGGAGGAACCTTATGCCAATATGCATTATGGAGCAATAATAGGTGTGAAATCTTAGTTGAAGTTTTTTCTTTCTACATGTGCTTTTACTTTGTCAGACGTCTCATTTCTTTTCCCGTATTAAGTTCTGCCGACCTTACCATCATTTTGTATTTGCTGACTTGATTTTTATACTGTTTTCATTAAATTTCTTCTGCTAAATTTAGTACGTCACATTGATACTTTACATCCATTTACTTTTTCTGGAGTTGGTCTATGTAATAATCTATAATATCGAGAATGTTTCCGCCTTTTATTCATGGTGGATTGAATATATTGACATGGGTAGCCTGTGGTTTGTTTACCTCATCTCCGTGCAGGAGGCATTGTGAGCAACACACTGAGGCCACCTGTACCAAGCAACTGTGACCCTGAATGGAAGTTACTAATGGAGCAGTGTTGGGCTCCGGATCCCGTGGTTCGACCTTCATTCACTGAGATTGCTAGACGCTTACGCATCATGTCATCAGCAAGCCAGACAAAACCACAGGGTCATCCTCCGCAGAACCAAGCATCCAAGTAAAATTTCTGATGCGCCCATCAATGATTATGATAAGTCTGTTTTATTTTATATACTCTAAAAACGCTTGTGTATTGTTTTATATGAAGAGCAAGGGGGAGGGGAGACTGAGAGAGAGGATATTATTGTGTTTGGAAGAATATATATAGATATGTTTATATGTAAAGCTATTATTATTCGCCTCGCTGTGGATAGCGATGCGGAATACAAACTTGGTTTTGGTGCTTGCTTGTAACTAAAGTTCAATACAAATGTTCTATTATTATTGTGTTTTTTATACGTATATAAACATGTATTCAATGCACAACACAATACAAAAAAATATTTGTTCAAAGATAATTCTTAATAATTTGATATTGAGCGGTCAGGTCCCTAACATTCATGGTGCTCAAATTTGAGACCTCAAGAAACAATTCTTTTACCACTGAGGTTATTTGATTCGTATTTCAAATAAGTTTTAGATATCAGAATTAGGTATGTTAGAGAGTCGGAATCCTTACTATTGACACTCTTGATGCATGTTTCAATAGTTTCCGAATAGTGAGTTTAGAAGTTTCAGTACTCCTAAAGTTTCGATACTTGAGATATAAACATTTGTCTTTTGGTGATGTTAACTCGAGGCAATTTTGATTTTCCACGAGTCTTTGTAATTCATATGCAATAAGTTAGTGTTGATAACTTGAAAATTTGTTGTTTAAGCATGAATTATTATGCCTTGAATATATGAGAAATATATTGATAATTTACACAAAGGTCCTCATATTTTCAATTGCAAGTGTCAAATAGGAATTTTTTAAGAAAAATGAAAAATCTAGATAAAATGGAAGCCAACAGTCTACATCCATCACGTTACTGCATTTCAACAAGAGACAAACTACAAAAGTTGCAAACAATTTTAAGTTCTCGTGTACGGTTACAACGAGGAAAAAGAAATGCAGGTAAAAGACACATGGGACAGTAAAAACACACCGCCGTCGAGAAACAATACCGCCATGAAAAAACTTAGGAGGTCCCATCTCTCTCCAAAACTAATTCTTGAACCCCCTTGATACCTTGCGGTTTTAAAAGTTATTCAGCTTTTTAAGTGAAATGCAAGTAAACCACCCATGCATCAATCCCAATGGACTACATGCCAAGCTTTGAGAGAAGTTCTCTCCATCTTGGGGTCTCTTCATCAAAAATGTAGGTCAATGACGATATTAGCACCCCACTGCCTCCGATCTGAACCACACAATATTCAAATTCAGTGACCAAGATGAGCATCAGTTTGGTCCTTCTAGGGCAGGGGAGGCTGTTATATCTACACATATATCGTAACAGAACGGGCACCTAAAAACTGATCACTTATTAAATAAATACGAAGTTCCTTTTCTTTATTTTGGGACCAAATTATGTGCCTAACTCCTTGAAAGCTAATTGTGACACACTAAACTTGGCCCAGGAATCCTAGCCGAATCCGAAGCGCCACATTGATAATCAAAGTGAGCCGATTCGATTGAACATCACCATATACATGACATGATAAACTTCATTATAGACGTAATATCATCCAAGCATACTTTCAGGTTAAACATGCTTATTCCAGATTACATACAAGAGCACCAAACCAATTTCGGGCCAAATAATAATCTAGCATTAGGTATTGATACTCATCCCTAGGGTATGATACCCTAGTCAAATTCTCAATTTTAGGCTGAAAATCACAGTAGCTCATCTTGGTATCAATACCTAAGCATTGAGCATTGATTATGGCCATCAATAGGTGGGAAATTCTTTTATTAGCAAAGAAAAAAACAATGGAAACATTAAAATGAGGCTAGGTTACAACCAATTACATAAAAGATGATCAAATTACATAAATCAGTATAACTTTTGTAATAATTTGTGTAATTGTCAAATTTAATAAATAATTATCAAATTACGTAAAAATAATACAGCCTCCTAATATTTATTGTAATTAAACAAAAGTTTACAATTTACAAAAAAGTATTAGCTGATATTTTGTGATCTTTTGCGTAATTACTACAGTTTTACCTTTGCCTTAAGTTAGCTTAATTTGAGGTTTTATTTTAGCATTTCCCAAAACACAAGATGAAGTGTTCTAATTAGAGTATAGATCTAGACTTGGATTTAAGTTCATATGCAAATCGGATTACAGATAAAGTAGTGTTCCAAATAGAACAAGCACTTGAGCCAGGGTCCGTAGCATTTAGGTTAACTTTATCATCATTCATCATGACTTACCGCTCTCAACTGTTGCACGGACTTGTATAGAGCTTTCTTTGGTACACATATCACTATGGCATAATAGTCAGCAGCTACTTTTCCATCACGCTTACAAAACACTGGACATACTGTGGGCCCTGCAAATATTAATAGTGTTTAGAGCCTTCTTAGATTTAGCAGTAGCATTAAGAAAACCTTCTATTATTTCAAGTTAAAATTTGCAATGACTTCAAGTTCATTCCAAAAATGAATGTTGAGAGCAACGTCCTTTCAAACTTCACCTGCAATCCAACTAAAGATGGTTGGCTCAATACTCGCTCAGCCACTTCCTCTGCACTACCACCCCTCATATTTGCAGTTACCTGCCATAATAAAAACATATAAACAGGAAGAATACTGGGAAGAGAAGGAAAGAAATCCACAAGACTGGAATCATGAATTAATTTGCGCACCGTGAACTGACCGAGAGCCCTCAAATGAGCCTCAAATCTTTCAAGAATCTCATGTGTCGAGTCCAGTGCACCTTTCCGCTGGATTAATTCCTTTCGGCTTGCAACCAGGACAGCCTGATGTCAAATGGCCTCTTGAGATCAGGCAACAAATGCTAAAATCAAATCCTTTTCAAATTGCATGCTTTATAGACTATAAGATGACTCGCTTGAACTTTGCATGAACAAGAAAAGACAAAGATCTTGTTACCTGGCTTTCCAATACAACTCCACCTTCAATTTCTTTCAAGTTGTTCTCCTTCAGTGTTGTCCCACTACTCACAAGGTCCAAAATTGTATCAGCTATTCCCATCTATATTAAAAACAAAGAGAAATGATTTCTATAAATATCATACAAACAAAAAGGATTACTTTTCCAGATTGCTTTGTCCTTATCTAGAATTACTAGCGCTCCCTTTTAAAGTCACTAACTTCAATAAGAAAACAACATTTTGTCCAATCATATATCAACCGGGTGAAAGACTGAAAAGACACAAAAGATAGGTAGAACATTGGAAGGTACATTTAAACTATTACATAATAAGAAAAAACTTTAAAAAAAACCTAAATTGCATGTACTTGGGAGGACTTAATTCTTACAGCAGGTGCTGCCTCTAAGGCTCCATCAGCAGTTGAAAATGTCACATGCCACAGTCCATTTTCTTTCATAAATTTAGGACCAAGCTGTGCAAAAAGACAAGGAAATTAAATTCAAATAGGAACATTCTGTCAATAAGCTACTTCAATAGATTGTATGAGAAGGAAAGTCTGGAAAGCATATAATTTTTTTTTTATAAAAAAATCAGTGAAGTGCATGTCATACATAAGTGAAGCCAGTTGCAACTCTTAAAGGTTTCTCAATGGTCCACTGGGGCATCTCAGCTAGTTTCCTCAGTGAATCGATATTCTCAAAGATCCCATACTTGGGAATCTGAAAAACCAAAATATAAACCATCACTGCCAGGGATATCAGAAAGGTCCAGCTCAATATGTAGTTTTTAAAAAAGAACACTTACTGCAAGGGATAAACGACAGTCACCGTAGTCAAGGGCATCATGGACAATGATAAGATCTTCATTACCCTGATAAATTATTGAAACAATAAGACTTTAATCTGCACTCTTTTTTCTGAGAGCAACTCTTTTTGCTTATAGGAAGATAAGGATAAATGCAGTATTAGAATAAACCACACTACAACCAAACTCAATTACTGGTAATGGTGACATTTTCACAACTAAAACAATAATATGTAAACGATAGATCTAACTTTAAATATGACATTGAAAGGCAGGAATTTACATATTACATAATCTAATCACTGCACTGAGTTGGATAATTCAATTACTAGCGACATTTTCACAATTGCAAAACACTACAAAGGATGGCCGCAATCAAACAGTATCCTATACATCAAAACTTACTTGTCCATATTCACTGACAGTATCAAGCCCCACGATACACAGATCTAAATCCATTGATAGCAATTTGCGGACAATGTCTTTGGGCCGCTGAAACCAGACTTCTACATTGGAAAGCTGGGAGAAGAACACATTAAGCATTGAATATTTACTATACATAAATGAGATACAAATGCCAAGTAGCATGCAGACTGTGAGATAGAAAGATGACACAGACCTGAGGTATTTGCGCAACATACTGCCTCGGATTGACTTGCTTAACTGACAATTGACAATCCTTTTGCAGAAGATTGAAAGGATTCGGAACATTAATTTCAAACAAAAAAAGTTCAAAAATGTGATTAAAGAGTAACACACATTCAAACATAATGATTGAAATTATGTACAAATTTTAGTACTTACAAAAGTTACAACATCTAAATTTCTCACTGACATTATTAGCTTTTGCATCTAATAAGATTATATCGACTTTCTAAACTATTAACGAAAAAGGAAAATGATAAGTAAAACTTTATTTTCTGGTGAAGGAAGCAGTACCTTGAGTAGATCGAGTGTGTCAGCAGCCATGCGACCTTTGCTAGGCAAGCCGATACGAATTTTATCCCTTTCAGCTATTTTACTATCGAGTGTTCCGTTAACGAAAGCCGTTTGTAGCTGCGAGGAGCAACAAGAGATGAAGCTACGTTTAGAAACCGATACGTAGAATGAGTGAGGAAAGGATATTGAGAAGGCGCGTGTAAATGCGGTGGCGCATTGCTGGAAATAAGGCTGAAAGAGAAGCATCTTACGATAGATGGCCAAAATAAAAACCCTAACTGTCGGATTCTGGAATTATTTGAAGAAACAATGACGATTCGTGCCACAAAGAAACCAGCCGCCGCAATGAAGGAAGATGCTTTTCAGATACCTTATTGTTGGTGGTCTCAAATGATCAACTGTAGAGGGAGGGTATGATTGGATGCGGCCAGAGATATTCTGTTCGATGCACTTCGCCAATCACAACTC